ATGAACTTGATCATAACCTTTTTAGACAAAAAAGTCTTCGAGCACTTGATGGAAGAAAAATCTTTGTGCTCTTGCAAAATGCAGTGGTATTCAAAAGGCTATAGTGTTAGTTTATTCTGGCAATCAATGCTCTTTTATTCTTTTCAGAATTCCATTCCATTTGTTAAGTAAATCCAGTTTGACATCCTCATTATATGTTTTCATTTTGGCACTAACTGCCATTAAATCTGTTGTTTCAAGCTTTTGAATTAAATCTTCGATTGATTCATACAAAATAATATGTGGCCATTGATAAAAGTCAGCGAATTTTAACCAATATTTCACAGCAGCTATATCATAATCATTATTCGGATCGGGCATGTCTTTCTCAACGCCACGAATAACTGAACCATTCGCCCGTGTCCAGTGATATGCACAATGCCACGTCCTCTGACACAAAATGTTTTGTTTTTTGTGCCATTCTGTTAATAAGTCTAGTGCCGGGAAAAAGAGTGGAATGTTCATTCTATATTGTTCAAAAATGCTCATTGTTGATAATTGATATGGAACATGAATTATTCCCAAATGACTGGACAAATCCGAATATTTATATCGACTATACACCTCACGAAGCTTATTCACTGGGATAGTCATATTTTCTCGACTCACTGCACTTGGAAATGTTTTGTCAATCTCTGTATTTCCAATTGGTACAAATAAAAAGCTTTTCCTCACTGGTTTATATTGTGCGTTTGTATAATTACATAAACTTGGTAATAAAGTCACTTTGAGTCCAGTAAAATATCGAATGTATTCAGCATCGTACAAGTTATTCGCACCTACCACATTTTGGGGATTACGTGCAATCATTTTCAAATTTTCGTTCCATTTCTGCCATTTATACGATTCCAGACGAGCTAATTCATAACGTGTCGATGCAATGACAAGAAGACTTTTGTTAAATGGCATATACAATTCACACATTGACGCTGGATGAAAACACACAAATGCATCCACCATCTGCATTTCCGAACGATTTTTGTAAACATCATAAAATTTATCTTTAAAGTCGTTTACATCGTAACCATTGTTTCTGTCTAATACTAATAGATTTTTTGCGCAAGTGTGAGTCGATGAACAAGCGCCTGAGAGACTTTTATCGATAAATTTGAC